AGGGTTAGCCCATGCCATGCTTCAAGGGCCTGAGCTGCAGTGGGCAACATTCGACATCGGCATGGCTCACAAGTCTACGTTCCGGAGCGGCCTTACACTGCCAACGCTAGCTACACCGGCCGCATCACCCCTGGTGCCATTGTCTTCAGACACCCTTTCAACCGGGGCACCCGGCCGTGACAAAGACGCTGACGTTCCATGGGACAACACAACACTGCACCTCCACGGTATTTTGCCCGAGCGTGTGATGAAGGTTCACCAGTTCGGACCAGGTAGCCGTTGCACTTCGAGCGCTCAATGAGAATGTCAACCCTATTTTTGAGCAGTTCGTTTGGATCTCCGTTCTAGCCACTTGTGCACGTAGCTGTCCTCCAACTGCCTGCTGGTCTTCCTTTGAGCCTCTCAGTGACGTTGATCAACTTATCAGTGAAACTGGCATTCCTGCTGGCAGCTACTACCTCATGGCGTGGCAGCGAGCTGAAGGCATTGTCCATCTCAGAATGCCACATCCGATGGGAACCCATGGTGTTTGTCTCATCCCAATGCTTTGGTTTCTCACCAAGAACCAGTCAGTTTCCATCCATCCTCCTGACATTTTTGTACCAGTCATTACCAAACACACTGGGGGTTCAGATGACAAACCATGGTGCCCAGTACAGAATCTTAAATGGTACTTGGCCAAAGCCCCCCCAAAAAACAGCTTTTCGTCACCAATATAAAACCTCACCAAGGTGCGACCAGAAACACTATAGCCAAAAGGCCAGTTTCAGCCATCAAGGTTGCCAACCCAGAGTGAAGTGGAGACCTCAGTAATATTACCAAATTGACGGAGATCACTTTTGGATTGATTATCTTTCAAAATCCAAACAGATTTGAATTAAATTGGTCGAAGTTGATTTGTTGTAGTGGGATGTTGCTTACATGTAGGAACAGGTACCACACAAGCAACCTTCCACTGAGCAGGAACACCTTCCCTAAATGAGTTTAGGATACTAAACTCAACAGCAAACTCTTTAATAATTTTAGGAGGAACTTGATCAGGGCCAGCTGATTTGCCCGATTTCAGAAACTTCAATTTCTTATGAACATCCCATGGTAATAACATAGGAAGTTTTGTAGCTGGAAGGTAAGTATGTAGTTTACAAATATCCAAAGGATGAAGAGCATAAGAAACGCCAACCAACCTAGCTACGTAGTCATTGGCTATGACAAGATTCTCATTCTGACAAGGATTAATAATACCTGGATAAATAATATTCAACTTGGGAACATTTGTTTCAGTCACTGACCCAATTTGTCTGCCATTGACAGGGATCAGAATGTCTTAAATTGCTAACTTGATCGGCATAATATTCAGTTTTGGTTTTCTGAACTTCTCTCTTAATGATATTTCTAAGTTTATGCCATTTAGTGAAATCTTTAGAGATGTAAGCTTTCTGGTGATCGTGCATATATTTTTTAAGTTTAGTAGTCAGCCAAGGTATATCACTGACTGAATCCTGATCGTCTTTAAAGGAAGATGCGTCATTAGAGCATCATCCAATTTGTACAAAGCATCAGCCTTACTCCAAGTATTTTGTTAATCAAAAACTTCACACCGGGTCTGATTTTGTATCCAAGTTCCAAAAGCATAAACAGAGGTATAATTGAAAGGATGAAAAGTTTTTAATCTATAATCATTACACGGACAATGCTTGGCCGGCTTCCATAGAACACAAATGTGATTACTTCTCCCAATAGGTGAGAGAGGTTCCAGAGAACTGTACAAATGTTCTAATCTCTTGTTGGTAAGTCTTAGATCCAACTGAAACACTTGAGTAAGCACACACTCAGGCCATGCAGAACCAGGATCCAGTGCAGCATCCATTGTGCCCGCCTTCACTCTTCCCACCTCAAAGCTTCACCAAGCTAATCCCTACTTCTGGATCCCTCTCTACACCATATAAGCTCCACTCCCAGTCAGAATCCTGCAGTCTCCTGAAGACGGACAGAAAACACTGTTCGAAATGTCAAGTTTTTCCCTGGTTCTTCTCATAACCACACATACTCAAGAAAAAGATTGATACATGGTGTCACCGCAGTCGTTTTACTCATCTAGTTTCTTTCGCCATGAAAACTTTCAAGTCTTATCTGATATTCATCCGATTGAGAATAACGATGCCTCCATCAGGGTACTGAAGTTTTAAAATATCAACAGTACGAATTCAGTAATCCCTCAGAAATGATTAGGTGAATAAGTAGTGATATGAACTACACACATGGCAATAGTTATCTCTCTTGGGAGTCGGTGTGGTCTAATCAATTCCAGTTTAAAGGCACTTCAATGAAGTCCAAAGATCTTATGGGGATTCCTTCTTTGATGTATAATGCTACGCCACCGCCTCTACTATGTCTCGGACTCTGGAAAATACTTTATAGCCATTGATAGATTTGAAGTTGTTTAGAGTGCTACATGGAAACCACGAATCTGTAATAGCAGCTACCTGAACCTTATGATGGAATATTGCCTTAGCCTCATCCAATTTGTTCATCATTGCACGTGCATTGGTGAGAGGAATAATAGGAAGATATGGCTTTGTAACTCAATGGGGTGCAGCAGTTAGAGGAACCTGGATCAGGCTAACTTTCCAGAATAAGATTTATCAGTATGACAAATACGTCTGGATGACTTGTTATTCCCAATGCGTGCTGTAACTTGAACTGGAATCACACGCATGATCATAGGCTTGATAGCAATGAGTTGTATGGCATTTTCCTGCACATTTACCTCTGTCCCAGAACATCCATGAGAATATCAAATAAAGCAGTTGAAACATGAATATTCCCTGTCCTAAGTCTGTGAAGCTGTTAATATTTTAGCGTCCAAGACTGAAGAAGCAGCATTGGTAACATCAGCTGGACTCTTCTGGATAGACCTTATTTGTGATTCCAGGCATGTACTCGGGATTGAGTTGTTTAGATTTGTCCAATCCCTGCTGACCAAGGGTCCATGATTTGCGGGAATATCCATAAAAATAGTTACCTGCAATGATGGATGATGTCCTGGTATTGCTAGGGAACAGCACCATGCTTGGTCCATTTCATAAACGACACAGAAGTTGGCTTTTAACCTTGTAAACATAGATTGAGTTTACATGTGTAACTAAAAAAGGTCAAACTACAGAGCCCAGGTGGAAATACATTTTGTGCACAGAATGGTGAATAAGGTATGGAGGGTTCCTTTGGATTCACAAATGCCGAACACCGATATGCTGATAATTGTCCACAAAAAGCAGCAATTGATACCGCTCTCCAAGCTGACAGCCATGATGAATGTCACAGATGTAGGTCGCGTACATATATTCAATGAAACACGGAAGTCAATCATCAAAGTATCACAAACATCAAAACTCATGAAGAGACAAATAATGACAAGCTAATGGCATAAAAATAATTGGATTTATAATATATCAAATCGAAGACACCGAGCTGAAAAAAAGCTGATCATCTTCGGTTTTACGTCCTTTCCCTGGAAGCAGGGGTTGGACGGGTCCTCCCTATAGTTGGCTTCACTTGCTGAGGGGGGTCTTACTGCATGTCTCCACCTCTCTCTGTCCAGCACCATTTCAGGCCTTAACCTCAGGGCCCTCAAGTCATCCTGGATGTTATCTTTCCATCGTTTCTTAGGGCGTCTACGGGGGAATTAGCCAGTTACCACACAGTCTAGGACCCTCCTGGGCCAGTGTACAGCCTCCATTTATTGCATGTGACCATACCAGAGCAGCTGGTTTCCTCAACAGACTTCTGGGATCCCTGGTATTCTAAGCAGGTCTTGGAGCTCCTTAGTAGGCCGTCTGTCTGCGAGCCTGGCTGAACAGATCCATCAGACCATACTATTGTTGTTTCTGATGAGTCTAGTTGTGTCCTCTGCGGTCTAGGGCCGGGTCGCGCTGCCATATAGCAAGACGCTGTGCACGGCTGCGTTCTACACAAATCCTCAAGTCCTTGGTGCAATGCCACGGTTGGTGAGGATGGGTAGCAGGTCACGAAACTTTCCCCATGCTGACCTCACCCTAGCACTTATGGCATCAGACAGCCTCCAGATTGCCCAACCATGTCCCCAAGATAGCAGAAGGTCTTAACAAACTCTAAAGGTTGGTCTTTAAGCATGACCTCCTCTATGCTGTCTGGTGTTACCACTACATTAGCAGGTCCACAGCAGGTCTGGCACTTGAAGTCTGGATCTGGCTTAATCCTTCCCTTCACTCCCAAGCAGCGCTGATGAACCCAGAGGCCACAGTGCTGGCAGTAGGTGGAGTTAGCACCAGCTCCTTTTGAGCAGACTCCACATGGCCACTTCACCGGCAGGGGCTGGCTTCTTGCATCGTGGGAGCTGATCAGTACCTTGGTCTTTCCAATGTTGACTTTCAGTCCTTTTAACTCCAGGCTTGTTTTACAAACTGACTACCGATCCATGACCTCTTCTACAGTGTCTGCCATGACCACGAGGTCATCTGCTTAGAGGAGCTCCCACAGGCAGCCCTGCCGGAATTCTCTGGATAGTGCCTCCATCAGGCAGATGAATAGGAGTGGGCTCAAGACTGAGCCTTGATGAACTCCTACTTTGACATCAAACTCTTGGCTGTACATGTTGTTAACTCTCACTGCAGAACAAGCATGCTCATACATGGCCTGAATCACTTTCATTATTCATTCTTCAATGCCTAGTTGTCTCATGGCCCACCAAAGTACAACTCTCGGAACATCGTCAAAGGCCTTCTCGAGGTCTACAAATGCAAAGTAGAGGCTCTTGTGCTTGGTAAGGTGTTTCTCCTGCATCTGACGTAGTATGAAAATCGTGTTAGTATTGCCAAGGCCAGGCATTAAGCCAAACTGCATGGAGTGTGTGTCCACCTTGGAGTGAATGATGGTCTCTATGATTGTCTCAGTGAGCTTGAGCATCTGGTCAATTAGTTTGAGGCCCCTGTAATTGTTTCTGAGAAGGGGATCACCCTTGCCCTTATAACAATTAATGATGTATGACAGATTCCATTCTCCGGTGACCTTCAATAAAATTTATGCGGGCACCTTCAATAAAAAAAAAAAAAGATATGGCGCATGGCCTCTGCAGGGACATGTCCATGTGGTTGAGTTGAAATTGGTTCATATTTGTGGCCTTTAGAACTAAAGGTGTAATGGGTTTTGGTCAGGATAGTTAATCACTCAAAATCATTTCCGGGCTTAATCAATGTCCTGTTACATGTTAAACATGTGCTCCAATTCCTTTGTCTAGTCACAGTTAGCTGCTAGACTGTATCTACAAGAATGATGCCAAATACAGAGGGCTCTACACAGTATTGTTAACTCATGTTACAAAAGGAAAGCATAATCTTTGGTCTGAATTAAAGTGGTGGCCAAAATTTTTTGAAGCCTTAGCACTTTTGAACCTGAAGTCACTTCTAGTGAAATAAACTGGTTATCTAATGTTTTCAAATTTATGGATGTATTATCAGACAACCCTAGTAACCAGCTGTTCATGCACTTCTTGCTCATTCTGTTGTTTTTGTTTGATTGCAATGCTCTTTTCATACATTAGTTGAGATTGAAATTTTTCTGGTGAAGGTAGCAAGTAAAGGTAATAAGTTTGTTGTAGCACCATGCAAAATATCCCTGTAGTGAGTGTCTGTGGTTCTGAGAAGAATTGAGAGTACTCAATGTTTCGGACAGTATTCGCTGTCTGTTATCAGAGGACTGGCAAAGCAGGAACTGAAACTGAGCAAAAGGCAGTAAAAAAGGCCCTTTTCTGATACTGAATGGAGCTACCAATTTATAACCACGGGCATAATTGCAGCCCTATAGCTCTGTGGACAGGTATATGGACACCAATTCGTGGCGACATCTTAGAGGGAGAGGAAGGAAGAAGAAACTTTCTGAGAGACATGTGAATCACTTCTAATGAAGTCTTGGAGACCAGACAAGAAGCTCAAGGGAGCTTTGAGACAACATCAACAGCATTCTGACTGGTTGTGCGACAGTTTGTTCAACTGTGCACTGAAGGTGATAGGACTTATTGACAGAGAAGCAGCTAGGAAGCCATCATTGAGGGAGAACAATAGGGTGAAACGTCTGACTTTTGCAAAACACAAGCATTTGACAAAGTAGGATTGGTCTAAAGTCCTATGGGCATACGATGAATGTAAATTTAAACAGTCTGGAACACAGAATATGCAGATGTAGACAGAAGGGTCAAGGGAACAAGAACGAATGCCATTTAACCATTGAACTGTAAAGCACAGTGGGGAAGTACCAGTATACCAATACTAATGTGAGCTATGGTCACAATTACTTTATTTGATACTGTTTAAAACTGGACACCAGGCATTGTTAGGCATTAACAATATCAGTTTCCTCAGATATGTCAATTATTGGAATAATTTGGAATAAGAATATTATATGGATAAATACACTGTACTGATTGCCATTTCATCACAGGGAACTACCCATGTTTAATTATTTTGCACACCGCTGTACGTACAGATATGCTTTCTGCAGGAGCTCCCTAAAGGTTGTTAGTTGATATGGTTAGCTGACATAGTATTGTCAGCTGACACTTATCAACTGATCGCAAGGTGTTACCAGATTTCTGCTCAAAATGATGTCAGTGTTTCTTAGTGAAATTTAGTTAATATGTAGGGCTGCATAACATTTGTACGCTCACATACACATACACATATATGTTAAACTACAGATGACATTCAGACTAGAAAACATATATGAAATGCCAGAAAAACTCCGATACGTTTTTCATCGTTATTTTGAGTAATGTAAAGAACATGAAAGAATGTTACTATATTTAAATTACCTTGTTTTCTAACCAAGAGATTAGTAAAAAATATTAAAACATGGTTTTTCTAAATGTAAAAAAATAAAGGTCATACACATTGCTTATAAATTTCTGACATATTTGAATTTGTCATTGAAAATTAAGGACCAAACCGTGAGTTAAAACATTGTAATTATGAATTAAACTGCAAACTAAATGAAATCTAGTGGTGAAAATATTAAATCAAATACTAAATTAAGCTTTAAAAATTTTGGAATGAAACGTTTCCATTTTATATGTACACTATATTTATAAAAGTAAAATAAGCCGTTCTTTAGCACACGGCACATCAAATCCACATGACTTCTAGCTGAACAACACCTATCTTGATGTCTGCAAAGGAATCGTTTACTCACTGAAATATGTATTGGCTAGCATGGTCATACTTTTTTCAGGCGGATCAGATTGTTAATTCTAACTACCAATATTTCTCATATTTAATGCAGCAGATCAGTTCCTAGTTGGATAAAAATGCACCTTACAAACCTCAACCATCGATTATCTGTTGTCCAATAAATCTGTCATGACCTTGGACTTCTAATCCAAATGTACAGGTGCATGAAATCAAAATAAGCAGTTACATGTAACTTACTAGATCTTCCCTCACCAAGCTCACAGATTACGTAGATTGTTTTTATAGTTAGCAAGGAATTTGTAAATAGATTCAGTCATTACCGTTCAATTTGGCATGTGGCTCTTCTGAAAGAAAAATTACTCATGCATTTGAATGATGTAATGATGATAAATCCTCATTGTATTTTTGTCGTAAGCTACCTAATGCAAATTTATGTTGTGGTCTGAATGGTTGGATGTTGTTTAGACACTATCACCCCAGTCTACCTGCATGTTGGCATCTGGTAAGAACCTGCTTCTCGTCACTGCAGCAGATAATCATCAAGTTCAAGATATCTCTGTTCAGATGAAACAAAGAGCCATCAATGGTTATGGCTTGCAGGTATGTCACATAAGTTGAAACGTTCTTTTCTCACAAGGTGCATTCAACTACATGTATGTATACATACCATGGAAAGCTGCCGAAGTGAATGGTAAATTATAAAACAAGTATGCCGTTCGGCTCACAATAAATTAATCATGTGGCATAGATTATTTACTTTGGTAGCTTATTAAATCTGATCGACTTCAAATTTGGTTGAAATCATCTTAGACTACCTGCCAGAAAGGTTTAGGAGGAGATTCGTGACATTGTTAGGTGTCACATGACAAGAAATTACACTTTGATATAGTTTTTATCTTTAAAAAGCCATATAAAATCAACCAGAAGATCTTCATCTTGCTTTCAGCTATAAGTGATTAAGTAATTTTCTTTCTTGATTTTTTTGTTGTGGTCATAAAATTACCAGACAGTTGTTGCCAGTGGTGACTGAAAGTGACTTACGTTAATCAAACGATATGAACTTGCTTTCAGTGGTGTTAGTCTCTGGTACTATTTTTCAAAACTGGAACTGGTCATGAAATGCTTATGTGCCCTCTGGTTGTAGATTAACAAATATAAAAATGCATTTTCAGCTGATGCCTGTGTTGACGTTTGCTGTAATTGCTTGTAAAATAATGTAATATAATCATGTTAATTCCATTTGCAAGAGTGTAAATTTCATATCCGTAATCTGTGGCGTATTCGGCAATTTCTGACTCAGGAGTCTTTTCTTCACACTGTATGGACTTTCATTCTTTCTCGCATTGACTACGCCAACTCATTGTTGTATGGTGCCCGGGAAGTTGATCTCCAGTGTCTGCAGCACCTGCAAATAAAGTGGCGCGTCTTGTGTTTGCATGTGGCAGAGAAAACAGCTCAGTTCAGTTACTTCGATCTCTTCATTGGTTGACAATGCGAGAAAGAATTAAGTTCAAAATCCTTCTTTACGTTTACAAGTCTACTCATGGAGAGGCACCCAGCTATTTATCTGCACATCTCAACCTGTACAATACTGGTCACCCGGAAGAAGGTCGTAGACTCCGGTCTTCGTCTGATGTCACTCGGCTAGTTATCCCACGCTCCACCAGAAAAGCTGGAGATAATTCTTACTTTGTTGTTGCTCCAAAACTATGGAACCAGCTGCCGTGTGACATCAGGGAAGTGGCGTCAACCTCTGTCTTCAAACACCTCTTCAAAATGTTCTTGTTCCCGTACTGAGGGCATTCAGACTGTTTCAACTTCATTATATGGTTGAATGTTAATTGTTTAATTAATTTATGACTTTCGTTTGTAAAGCGTTGTGTTCTTAGTTGAGCGCTCATTAAATGCTTATTATTATTATTATAGGTAGATGATAATTTATACCTTCATGAATACAGCAAGCCCTTCATTTTTCAAAACTTCTGACAAAATCAATCCAGAGAGATATAATCTGCAGTTCCATCAACAACAGAATGCATGTTGGTATTCACGGTCATACATAAAACACAGACTACAGAAAAAAAACAACCTTAACAGGAATCTTTCGCTTGTAGACATTGTCCGGGTCATGTCCAGTGATTGTGTGCATACCATAATTTGTGTGTTAAATGTACTTCAGGTCGCTTTTTGTTTTCAGATGATTGTATGTTAAACTAATGATGAAGCCATCGAGTAATGTTTTATTAACACGTGTTCAGTTTGGCATTATTAAAGGAATAAAAGTTTGGAGGAGTGTGTATGAACTTGTTACTTATTACCAGTGAGGAGGCATGTTGCTGATAAAGGCCCCTCACCAGTTATAACCACACAGTACACACATCATGACTTAGCTGGTTACAACATTATGGGTATTGGATGCACAACAATGGACCACTAAATGGCATTTTTTTGTCTTTTTATCATCAGCCTTGTTGACTGCATTAACAATAAGACAAGCCCAACTTTGATTGATGGCAATATTTATTTTGTCATTTGTAGGGCTGTTTCAGATTTTTAAAGCTTACTTTTATTATAGCTTATTAATAAATTGTCTGCATGAAGGTCATAATATCTACCAATCCTCAAGTGAGTACAGCAAATCTTGCCACAGATATCAACTGAAAATACATTTTTGGTACATTTTTCGACCTGCCGGTAGATGATGTGTCACATGACAAGTACTAATTGCACCATCATGATGTCATTATTCTAAGACCATCTATGCATTGAGGTCTTTCTTTGGTATAACTTTGATGAAGATTGCAAAGTGACTGAAGTGGCCCCTAGAAAAGACTATTTACAAAGTGAATGGTGTTTGAGGAGAACAGGAAAAAGAACGAATCTAAAAATCACAGCCAAAATAAAGGTTTTTCTACACATTGCAGAAAAGCAAAATAAAGGTCACTTACCAAAAAAGAAAGAAGTTAAAATGAGCTGTTTTGGTAATTGCTATAATGGCTGATGAGAACTCTCTGAGATATTGAAGTATCATTCAATGCCTATTCATATGCAAATTAGAGTACAGTTAAATCTTGTTAATAAGAACACCGTTGTTGCAAAATACTAATATCTGAATATAAAGTCTGTGTATCTTGATTTCTTTAATCCATATATTTTCTCCCCCCCCTCTTTTTATAAGAAAACCGTGGTGTAATGAAGAGTTGTATACCTTAATTTGCTTTTATAGAATTCACTTAAATAAAAAGAAAGTTTAATTATTCTCTGGATAAGCTAAGTCTGGTTGTGTTTAAATGTTTTAAAAGCACTAGTTATTCATCCAATTTGTCCTTCAATATCAAAGAAAAGGTTTCTGTTTTTGATAATTTTTTGAAGGATTTAAATCAGTGACTGAAGTCAATTGTTTGAAATAAGTCTGTTATTTTAATACAGTTGCAATACCAGTTTTATTTCCAACAAATATCATTTTTGGTCACACTTTACCCACAAAAACATTATATTGTTGACATTGATTAAACAACATGTACATGCATGTAATAACAAGGTAATAAGGCTGGTCCCACCAACTTGTTAGAAAAGAGTTGACTGTATGAGTTGACTGTGGTGGAAGAGATTTATGTAAAGGCGTCTTCATTTTGTTCTCAACTGTGACTAAGATATGACTGGAACAGATATGTTTGTTTTTCTTTTTCTCTTTACAGAACTTGTTAAGTCAAAACAGTGATCTCCTTGGGGATTCCGTGGAAGAAGTTAATCTGAAGAAATTTTGGACATGGCTTGATCATATCCTTTATAAAAGTATATTTTGTGTAGTTGTGCAAATGGAATTTCTTTGATTCCTCTCTTCAGTAAATATCTTTTTTTTTCTATGTAGTCATTAAAATGCTTGTACAGTGCATTTGACAGGCAGTCAGTGTATTAACTGCTTGTATATGGTTTAAGATTAACAGACGTGCTACCAGTTATATATCATTAAAAGATGCATCCTTTGTTTAAAACTTAAAATGTAGTAACCAAAAAGATATTGTATCACCTACCAGGAATGTAGCACAAATTGACCCATACCATATCACTGACAGAAAATGTTTCACAAATTGATCAATAGTGCAGAATACTTTTTAACCAATAATATGTCACCTGTCAACAGATAGTATATAATAACCAAAAACTTACTAATAATGCATCCTCTCAGAAGATGTGTGCATTATTGGCAACTCAAGTGTTTCAATCTCCCATTGGGAGGGGATGGGTACCAGACATTAAACTTGCCTCAGTGGTGGGTCAGGCTCTTGAAGTTCAGACTTTGGTTCATTTAAAGTTGTACTGTTTGCCCTTTTTGAAATCCCAGTTTGTGATTATCCAACTGTTGCTGTATAATGTCAGGCAAATGCCAACCTGCAAATTGATTCATTACAGGTAGTTATATTCCTTCTTAGTTCAATCAGAAATCAAACTCAATATTTTGAAAAATTGCAGTCAGTATAGCTTTATTCCTCTTGACCCATAAATGCTAAGGATTGGCGCTTCATGTTCTGGACTCACCATTTAAAGCATGATATGTGACTCACCACAAGTCACGGTAATTTATAGAGAAAAGTCCGTCATCAAGTTCTACATTTTTTAGTACTGGCTGAATAACAGCCTCTTCAGCAGTGACAGATGGTGGCTTTCCTACCTTAAGTGTTTACACCAACTGGTCACCTACTCTATTAGTGTGACACTATTGACCTGGCCTCACTTGGCCTTCTTCCTTCCACTGACCCATCCTCCATGCCTCTCCATGCTGCTTTCCATCATGTGTAACCTCAATCTGCATTATCTTCTTCTCCAACCCTACCTTCTGCAGTCTGTTTTACACACCATATAGATGGTGCTGTGAGAGCCTCCTTGGGCACACCTTTTGCGGTATTGCTGTATTTGTGCTTGTGCAGTGATGACATCAGGGTGGTTAGAGTTTAAACAGAGTAAAAAGTTTAAGTTGTGTAGGTTGAAGATAAATCAGCTAATATTTAGATTAATGCATACACTGACCATTAATATGCCCTGTTTTCTTCTGGTTTGAAGTAAGGAAGCCATACTTGGAAGGTTTTGCTTATTTCTTTAAAGGAGTCAGGAAATAGAAATATTTTCATAAATTTTACTAAAAACCCTTGGAATTGCATCTTTGGGTTTCAATTAAACTGATTTTCATTTTTTGTTTTGCATTTTTAACCCATGTTTTTATGCCTTTTGGATTTTTATGCTAATTCTATTTGCATATTCATGAGCAGAACTATGATGTCATCCAAGGCACCGAATCTCAATGTTAAACTGATTTGTGCACAGAATTTCTAGATTTTTTTAACACTGCTATGGCACACTTATTCATTTTATTTTTTTAATTGAATTTGCATTTAATAAATTCATTTAATAATAATTCTTCAACTTATCTGGGTACAACTGCACTGTGAAAATTTTGGTCAACTTTTGGTTGATATTTTACCCAATGTTGGTGTAAATATCAAAATATCAACTTTCTAACCTTGTGCAAATTCTTCCCAATCGTTAGTCAATGGTTGACCCACAGTGATTGAAATTAACCAATAATGTGGCAATTTTAACTAAGGTTGGGCAAATAATGAATGCCCAAAACAGTTTGACTAATTCTTTTTTCTTTACACTGTGGTGATGTTTCTTATCCAGGTGTATGCCACTGCCTTGATCTGTCCACTTTGGGGGCATCCAGGCATGCGGGAGGTTCATGTACATATGTATACTCTACCGGGCCACCTTACGTCATTTGCTCATACGGCCCCTAAACATGTGTACTAGTAAATGCAAATCTGAATCACGCATGTTTAACCCTGACCGTGACTCAAACAATAGCTCATGGGCTTACCGCTACACGACACATCAGACCACTGACTAGTGCCGGAGACTCTCGTGCCAGGGGTCAGCTAGGAGGGGAACAGAGAAATCTGCTATTTGGGCATATCTCTACCACTCTCTGGAGTAATCCCGGTGAATAAAATGCAATATGATCAGCCTACCGTGTCTGTTTTATTTTCCCCTTCATTTTTTTGGTCATTTATGCCTGCATTAGATGTCAATGCCCTACCCACAGACCCAATGCCCTGTCAAGCCCTCCGACGTATGGAACTTTGTCATCAGGGCATTCAAGCATGCTAACTATCAGCCATGATCTCTGGACATGCTCCCCTCTATCTCTGACTGTTTATCACCCCATTCAATTCAGCTTCCATGCCTCAGGCATCTGAACTTCACATTGTCGCAACTTCTACCCGCTCCTTTCATCTAATAAATTCTGGGATCTCCATATATACTTCTGTTCAACCTGGCCACGCCCCACATAATATCCAGACACGAGTTCCTTTGTAGCGGGCATGTCCAGAGTGTGCATACTGTGAATGTTATGAGGTCTGGCAAAAGTGTGGCTACTGTCAGCTTTTGTTATAGGCTTGCAATAGTTGTCTTTCCTGACTGTGCCCCTCGCAATTGAAACAAAGTGGCGTACTCGGCAAGGTTCTGTCAGTATCACCATTTCATCCACTCATGTTCTTTGTGCCAGTGACTAATTGGGAATATTATAATACTTGGATGCTGGATGAAATAGGTTATCTGGATTCTTAGATCATGGAGGGACTTCCATCTTTGGACCGTCCTTACCTGCAGGTGTTTCTATTTTTGCAATGCATGAGGAATGACTGTATTTCCCATGCGTGTAATGACATGGCCATACTCCTCAAACACAAGGATACAAACGGCCACTTTGAACAAAGTACAATGTAACAAGGCTCATTATTCATGTCTTAGCAAATATTTCAGCCTCTTTTTGCATGTGGCCCGGCCTTATTTTTGTGCCTCCAAGTCCAGATGTGACCGTGATGACGGATGCATCGCTTTATGGATGGGGAGCTTCTCTCCACTCAATGCCTCTGGGGTCTAGGACACTGCCTCTCTAGGCAAACATATCAATGTGTTAGAACTTCAAGCGGTGTTCAAGTTCCAACAGCACTTAGTAGGCTGTTCCGATTGAGTCCAGAGCGATGCCTCAACGATGATGGCACACATCAATTGTCAGGGCGGCATTCACCGTCCTAAACTCCTGCACCCTTATGTGACAGCCTTTCATGTGGATGATCCATCAGGGTATCAGCTTTCAAGCTGTCCACATAGCGGAAACTAGCAATAGAACAGCAGATGCATTCTCTCGGGCGCTATCCGACCAACAGAGTGGACTCTATGAGCCAGATTTTCAGAGATTGAGTGTCCTCAATTCTACCTCTTCGCTCTTGCCAACAGTGCCCACCTTCCAGTGTTCTGCTCCAGGTTCCCTTACCCATGGGCGTGGGTGACAGACGCCCTACAGATCGACTGGTCGGGCCCTCTGGTATATGCCTTCCTCATGTCTCCCTCGTCCCCCGGGTCCTGCCCACGATAGAACAAAGCTACGTCAGACCCTCCTTATCGCCCTGTTCTGGCCTTGCCAACTGAGGTTTCAAAGACTGACGAGACTCCTGGAATGACGGCTGTTGGTCCTTCTGGTCAGAGAGGACATCCTCTGTCAGCCCAAGTCAGAGATCCTCCACCCATCACTGGAGCATCTTCACTTGACGTTCTGGACATTGTCCAACGACCTTTCAGGGCATCGGGTTCTTCTGCAGATGCTGCGTCTAGTTCGGCTCAGGGTCAACACCTGTCCAGTCACAAGATTTACATCAGCCACCTATATTTTACTAGAGGGTGCGACGACCACTTTGTTTCCAACCGAAGCTTCTTTGAACTCCTTTGAAGGTAGCAAGCTATATGCCCTCTCGTTTGCCCATGGATACATCCGCTGGGAGTCACACAGGGTTTGTCTTGTCCCAACCATGGGGTTTCTGATGAAAAACCAGACGTCAACTTTCTGGTCTCCCGACATATTCGTTCCCAACATAGCCTCACTTTCTGGAAATGACTCTCAGGCTGACAGGGGATGGTGTCCGGTTTGGACTCGCAAGTGGGATCTTGCCAGGATCAAGCATTGCTGAGAATCTAGTTCTCAGCTCTTCATCACAACAACAAAACCCGTTCACTTGGTGTCAAAGGACACTTGCCCAACAGATGGTCGCTTCGAAAAGAAGGATGAACATGGCACCGCAGTGCATTGTGGAGGGTCAAAGAGTAGTAGGCATAATCAAGTCTTTTTAGCGAATTGTAATAAGCATATGGGAAATTTGCACATGTAGGCTGGGCAGGGTAAGTATCATTAGGAGACCTGACCGACACTTAATAAGGGGAGAGGAATTTACATCAAAGCAAAAGCGCCCTCACTTGTCCAGAAATGCTTGGTCAATTTTTGATGTTTGAAAAAGTGAACCGTTCAGTTCACGCAACTCAAAAAAGATGTCAAATAGTCTTCATACATGAAAGAAGAGTACAGAGATACACAAAAAGTGATTCCAAGAAAAATTCATTTCCTGGATCCTTTAAATTTAGTTGGCCACGTGGTACTTGTCACCTTTGTCAACTGAGTGGCCTGTATGCAGGCCTACTGAGACCATCCAAGGGGACGTATGTGATCGGCTACTGTGTGAGCGAGCTGCAAAGACTGCCATGCCCTGGTATGGATGGAGACTGGCCGAAACATCTTTTGTTTTTCTTAAAATTTTTCCTCCTTTCATTTTTCCCTATATACATACTATGGGGTCGTTCTACATGCGACTTTTGCCTCTGAATCCATTGTCTTTTTATTGTTCATAAACACTGTGAGCAGCTAATGGAAAAAGTGCCATCTGCTGAAA